TTCCCCTTCCCTTTTCCATTTCTTCCCTTTCCAGGTATCCAACTGGTTTGGCAACAAGAGAATCAGGTACAAGAAAAACATAGGGAAGTTTCAAGAAGAAGCCAACCTTTACGCTGCAAAAACCGCTGTGACGGCGGCTCACGCTGTGGCAGCCGCTGTCCAAAACAACCAGACCAACTCACCCACCACACCAAACTCTGGTAAGTCTCTACCTTTTTAAAAAAATGTAGCATTTGAAAAAGCAGATCCGGAAGGCAGGGGGAAAGGGAGGTTATATCAGAGGACCTGCAAATTCCCTTGGAGGTGAAATTCGGGCCTTCCTGAAATGCAATCTTTTCCTGGCTGAGTTTTTCCCAAGGCGCATACCTGGTTGAAACTTTATTTCTGTGAAAAGTGGGGCAACACAGCCCCTTCCTTAAAGCCATTCAAACCTGAACTCAAAATGAACAGTGCATGTACTGGAAATATGATCTTGATGGTTTTTTTTAAGAATTTGGTTTTAAAGAAATCTTCACTCTGAGCTGTTAGAACGTTTGTACGTCTTTTGGTTGTTCTGGTGGAAAATCAATCTAGTTCCCTAATGTTGCCCAAAGAAATGAGGGCTTCTTCCTCTTCATTGTATTTATTTAATTGAAACGAACATCTGGATTAAGCCAAGTTTAGTTTTTGTTCTGCTCTACCCAACCTCTGTCTAGATCCTTCCCACCCGAGGCGCTGACTTTGCCTGAAAACGTGTTCCTTTCCCACTTGCCTTCAGACATGTCCTTATAATATGGTGTCTCCACCTTTGTGAGAGTCGCCTCCCCAAATGCAGCCTGGAGTCAAGCCAGGGGTGTAATCAAACACAGGAGCACCAGAGTGCTGATTAATTGGCAAGTGGTTCACTCAAAGTAGCTGTGACTTCCAACAGACGCTCTTCAGAAGCGGCTAGACTGGAACTCTATCATCTCCAGCCAGGATGATGCTGTAGTCCCACTATTCCTGGAGGGCACCATCTTGGGGAAGAACCACAGTAGAACAAAAAGAAAAATTAGTCTTTTTCTAGCCCACTTGCCATGGTCTCCAAGAGTCTGACCTGGAGGATGCGAAACCTGCTTTCCACCTCTCCACGGCGTCCTGGAGCTCACCAACGGCCCTCCGCAGCTCTAGCGGGTCCCGTCCTCCACCCAACCACTTTTGGCTTCCTCCTTCAGTTCCTCTCCTCTTCCTCTGCGCTTCCCCGTGTCTTTCGGAAGTCTCAGGGAGGGGGTTTGCACGCCCATTTTGTTTGCCGCCCGCTTGTTGATTCAGCCACGCTAACTCTTTCATTTTCTAGGTTCTTCCGGTTCTTTTAATCTTCCTAATTCTGGGGACATGTTCATGAACATGCAGAGTCTGAATGGGGAGTCTTACCAGGGGTCTCAAGTGGGAGCCAATGTGCAATCACAGGTAGGAGAAAACAAACAAAAAACAAAAAAAACCAACGCCCCTCTAAATCAGGGCGTACGTAGCAGGGTCTGGTTTGGGCTTGATTAAAACGAAAGCCAAAGAAGGGGGAAGCGAACAAAGAAACAATCCAACCACAAATTTCACCTTCCAACCTCTGATCTTTGGAAAACCCAACTGGTTCACACCTCCACGCAGAATTGGGCTCGCCTCTTGCCTCTGGCATCGTACCAAACCCAACAGTGGCCCTTTGAAGCAACTGGATTTTGCCCAGGTGAAAAGCTGGATGCCCCCCCCTTCCCCACCCCCCATTTGAAACTTTTCAAACTTTGTGAATGCAATTCGGCTCTGGCTTGGCCTCGCGGCGTCGGGTTGGGTGTGTGGTTTGGCTGTTGACTTGAAAGCTGTCATCCATTCGGACTAGTTCTGGTTTGGCTTTGACTTCTGCTGCTGCGTCGGCTTCCGGTTTTCCCCCAATTGCTTTTCCTTCTCTGCTGCTCCTCCTGTCCCTTTGGACTCATGCTCCCCATGGCTGCGGACGTGTCAAAACTTCACACGGGGCAAACTCCGCTGCGCAAACAGTGCTGATCGGCCGGAATTGTTTGTTCGTAAAAACCAACACGGGAAGTGAAGTTTCTCGTGCTATGGGTAGGGAAACAAAACTGGCCTGGAAACCATTGGCAAGCTGAGGGGCTGCAATGGGTAAACTGTGATTCCTGCATCTCAAGCAGCCTGAGATGCAGTTTTTTA